CGAGAAATTTAATTTAAATTAAATTTATAGTAATTCAATTATTGTAGAGAGTTTTATCAAAATTTTTCAACATAATTGAATTCTTTTAAAGAATTTTAAAAAAATTTATAAAACTAATTGGATTCTTTTGAGTTATTTTATTAAAATTGTTATGAAAATAATTGAATTCCTGTGAAGAATTTTATTATTTATGAAAATAATTGAAATCAAACGAAGAATTTTATTAAAAATTTTAAAATTAGTACAATTCTTTCGAGAAAGTTAATTGAAATTGTAATGAAAATAATTGAATTCCTGTGAAGAAATTTAAAATTTATGATAATGATTGAAATCCTGCGAAGAATTTTATTAAAATATTATTAAAATTCTTTCAAGAAATTCAATTGAATTATTGAAGAGAATTTTATCAAAATTTTTGGAAACAAGTAAATTTTTTCGAAGAATTTCATTAAAACTTATAAAAACAATAACATTTTTTATAAAAAAAAAATTATAATTTTTAATAATAATTTAATTATTATTTTCATTGTATAAAAAATTATAATGAAAATAATTGAATTCCTTTGAAAAATTTTAATATTTCTGAAAATAATTAAAATCCTATACAAAAAATTTTTTAAAAATTTATAAAAATAATAGAATTTTTTCGAGAAATTGAATTGAAATTGAATTGAAAGTAATTGAATTATTATAAAGATTTTTATGAAAATATATTTAAAAATAATTTAATTTTTTACAAAATGTTTAAATTAATAAAATTGTAATAAAAATAATTTAAATTCTGCGATGAATTTTATTATTATGTATGAAAATAATTGAATTATTACGAAAAATATTATGAAAATAGTTGAATTCTTATGAAGAGTTTATTAAAATTTATGAAAATAATTGAATTGTCAGGAAGAATTTTAATAAAATTTTTAAAATAATTCCATTCTTTCTACAAATTTAAATTAAATTTAAATTGAACTATTTATGAACATTTTAACTACTTTTCTAACATTTTAAATACTTTTTTAAGTGCTTAACTCCTTTTTTCAGAATTTTAACTATTTTTTAACATTTTAACTATACTTTTTTAGCACTTTAACTATTTGTGAATATTTTAATTAATTTTCTAAAATTTTAACTAATTTTTTTATCAATTTAACTATTTTTGAACATTTTACTTGGAAAAAAAATAAAATTAGTAAAATGCTTTCGAGAAAGTTAATTGAAATTGTAATGAAAATCATTGAATATTCCTGTGAAGAATTTTATTTATGAAAATGATTGAAATTTATTGAAATTATTAAAATTCTTTCAAGAAATTTAATTAAATTATTGAAGAGAATTTTATCAAAATTTTTGGAAACAAGTGAATTTTTTCGAAGAATTTCATTAAAACTTATAAAAATAATAACATTTTTTTTACAAAAGTTATTGAAATTGCAATAAAACTATTTTATATCCTGCAATGAAGTTTATTATTTATGAAAATAATTGAATTATTACGAAAAATATTATGAAAATTTATAAAATAATTGAATTCTTTCGAGAAATTCAATTTGAAATTGTATTGAAAGTAATTGAATTATTATAAAGATTTTTATTAAAATTTATTTAAAAATAATTTAATTTTTAAAATTTTTTTAGCATTTTAACTAGTTTTCTGTAACTTCAGTTTTTTATTAAAGAAAAATTTTACTTCGAAAAAAAAATATTTGCAATTTTCCCTATAAATATTGAGCTAAAAAAAATATTTGGAATTTTCCCTATAAATATTGAATTAACGCCTTAAAAATTGAAATTAAACTTCAAATAACCGATTACTAGCCTCAGTTTTTCTAAGGATATCAAATTGAGCCAAAAAACGAATAAAAAGTGTTGCGAAGCAACATTTTTAATTCGTTTTTTTTTGTCTCAATTTGATATCCTTAGAAAAACTGTGTGCCAGTATAAACAAATAAATATTTCAAGTAAATAAATATTTACTTGAATCAAATAAATTTTATAAAGTCAAATAAATTGTATTTGAATCAATAATTCCAGTATTTGAAAGAAATAAAATTTAATTGACTCAAATAAAAATTAATTCAAAGTAAATATTTATATTTTATATTTATTAAATAATAGACAACTAATCGGTTAATATTTGATTTAAATAATTTTTTTTTCAGTTCAAATTCGAAATTATTCTTTCTATAAAAATAAAATCAATTTTTTTTAATGATATTAAATTTTTTCTAGAAATAATACATTTTTTTTCTAATTTTACGATAGATTTGGAAAATTCTAATATATTTCTGGGGAGATTAAAAATGAAATTGAAATTGAAATTTCGGTGGGGGAAAATTATATGCACGTGATGTGAAACTGTATGGAACGATAAGCAAACGACGGCCCTGGTTGCATTTGAAACTCTGTTAACTCTCCGAATATTAGCTCGTCGAGCCAGATTAACCCCATTGTGCCCTGTTGAAAATGATGACATCACTATTAAACTCCCGTCGGATTCCGGAAATTGATTAAACTATCAAATTAGCTCTACTAATATCTACACATCAACGTCAAAACTGCCTATATTCGAGATTCGCTCCAAAATAATATGCGAAACTTCATCAAGATCCAAACAAAACTTATATTAATAGTTAATTTAAGTATTTGCGATTTCATCATCGATAAAATCAAACTATATCATCGTCTTTATTGATAATAACCGAGAAATTTCCTTCTTATAATTACTACATTCTTTTTTATAAAAAAATAACTATTTTATAATTACTTTTTAATAAAATATTTTATTTTTTAAGAAAATAATTATTAGTTAGAAAAATAATTTTTGTTTCACGGTTTTTTAATATAAACGTAATTTAAAAAAAACAATTCTAATTCAATTAAAAATAACCGAGAAAATTCGTCCTTATACTTATTATATTATTTTTTATAAAAAAATAACTATATTATAATTACTTTTTAATAAAATAATTTTAGTTGTACGGTTTTTCAATATAAACGTAATTTAAAAGAACAAATTAATTCGAATTCAATTAAAAAAAAATAGTCAATTTACTACACTGAGAAAAAAATTTAAAATCCAAAAATATGTTTGAACATATTTTATAATTGAATTAAACGGAAATTTTATTGAATCAAACTTATGTACTGAATCAAAATTACTATGTTTAATTCAAACATAATTTTTGATTGACTAACAAAGATAATTATGTTTGATTCAAATATTCTATTTTCTCAGTGTACGAGAATTATAATATAATATATAAATAAAATATATATTATATATATTTATTCAACAAATACGAGATATATTTTACAAAAAAAGTGTATAAATAAAAATAAAATAATTCGAAACAGAGAAAAATTAGCTGACAGCTCCTATTAATTATAATTAAGTGACGAAAATAATTAAAACAAAAATTAAATAATTTTTTACAGTCAAAAAATTTTAACACAGTGAAAATAAATTATTTGATTATTCAAAAATATTTTTTCACAATTTTTAAAGTGGAAAATTCATTGCTTTTAATTGAAAATTAATCGATTGTAAATTATTCATGAAACTAATGTTCTGAACGTTTTGAAATAAACGAAATTTATTTTTTTCTTCTACAAATTAAATTTTTATTACAATAATTTCGCGTCACTGTCAGAAAAATTAATTCTATAATTTTTGTAACTTTTATATTTGAATCTAAAATAATTTAATTCTTTTACAGAATGATGCATTTAAATCAAAGAATATTAATAAAATTTTTTAACATAATTGAATTATTTTAACCATTTTTATAAAGATTTATAAAAATATTAAAAATAATTGAATTCCTACGAAGAATTTTATAAGAGTATAATAAGAGTTTATAAGAGTAATTGAATTCTTTTGTAAAGAATTCTATTATACATTTTTGAAAATAATTAAATTCTTTCCAGAAATTCAATTGAAATTGTATTAAAAGTAATTAAATTATTGTAGACAATTTTAACAAAATTGTTTAACATAATTGAATTCTGTAGAAGAATTTTATAAAGATTTATGAAAATATTTAAATGCTTTTGAGAAATGTTATTAAAATTATAATTAAAATAATTGAATTCATATTAAAAATTTTATTATTTATGAAAATAATTGAATTTTTGTGAATAATTTTATTTAAATTTTTGAAATTTGGAATGGAATTGCCTCGAAGAATATTAATACAATTTTTTAACACAATTAAATTCTTGTGAAAAATTTTTTAATTTATGAAAATAATTGAAATCCTACGAAGAATTTTATTAAAATTAATAAAATTCTTTGGAGAAGTGTAATTGCAATTGTCATCAAAATAATTGAATTCCTGTGAAAAATTTTTTAATTTAGGAAAATAATTGAAATCCTACGAAGAATTTTATTAAAATTAATAAAATTCTTTCGAAAAATTTAACTGAAATTGAATTAAAACTAATTGAATTATTTTAAATAATTTGATTAAAATTTATTTTAAAATAATTATTTATTATTATTTGTGGAACATAATTTAATTAACAATTTAATAAATAATTTTAATAAATAATTGCTTTTTGTTGAATCCATTTTCGAAAATTATTTTATTGTAATAAATAATAAATGAAATACCTAAATTAAAATAAATAATTGAAATATGTAAATAAATTAATTAAATAATTAAATATAAATTCAATTAGAGATTTATTTTTGAAAGCCCTGCTGATAATTGAAATTCGGAAATACACCCGTGTGTGAATAAAGATCTTCATCAGGGGCTCAATAACCAGGAATAGAATAATTACGAAAATCGCCCTATTTTTAAAGAATAATTTCTATTGTAACTAACAATAATAAGGAAAGTGTCAAAAATAAATGATTAAAAATTGAAAATTGAATAATATTTAATTAAAAAATTAGCAATCACAAAGAAATTTGAATTCAAATCTTTCGCGCGCAATTTTGACATTTACTTGCGCGCCGCCTAACAACCATAACCGAAATTTCTAAAAAAAAAAGGTTATGTTTTTCATGGTTCTGCCCTTGTCAAAACTCTCCGAAAATTAAGTGATTTTTCTCTCTAAAAAAGAAACGAAAAAAAGTTAAAAACTACTTTTATAATAAATTTAGAACCTAAGGAAAGAAAAGTCGTGGAAAAATGAGCCTCGCAGGTCTCGTAGCTTATGGAAGTAGTGATGAAAGTAGTGACGACGAGGAGGTTATAACAAACCAAGATACAAATAAACAATTATCAAAAACAACAGAAATTAATGCTGTAAAATGTGTAGAAAATAAAAATAATAAAACTGAAAGAAATGAGGAAATATTGGATAATTCCGATAATGTACCGGAAACGAATGCACAAATTCCCACGATACAAAGTGTTCCAGTTGCTGAAAAATCATTACCAAACGAAAATAGGAGTCGTATAAATTTACCAATTCCAAAAACACTTCAACCGGAAAAGAATATTAATTCCTCACTTGATTCTCAAAACAATGGTACGATTAATTTTAACATTTTACCACAACCAAAGCACAAGGAAATTGCAAATTCGACAATAGAGGATGACGATTATTTTCCTCCTCAAAAAGTGCCTTTGGACTTTATAGAAAAGCCAGAGAAAAAAGAAAAGGGTCCTGTGAAAATATCTGTACCTTCTCTTTCTGATGTAGGTATTATAATGTAAATATAATTAATAAATTATCTAACTGCTAATAATTTATATTTAAATTTATTCCCTTTAGTTCAAGGACCTCGACAAGGAGAAGGAAGCAAAATCCAGAATTAAACCATCACAAGTAAATGTTATTGAATATTTTATTTATTTCTGTATTTACTTTTAAACTAATATGAAAGCAATTTCTGTTTAATTATTAATTGAATTAATTAATGAATAAATAATTAATTATTCAATTACTATTTAAAAGTAATTTCTAATTGCACGATTTAAGAAAATTTATTTCATCATAAGAATTTAATTATTTTCAAAAGTAATAAAATTCTTCGAAGAAATTCAATTATTTTTAAAAATTTTAACGAATATCTCGTCAAGAATTTTTTTTTTTTCAAAAATTTGAATAAAATGCTTTGCAAAATTTCAATTATTTTTAAAAGTTTTTCGCAATTCAAAGATTTTTAATATTTACTAATTACTATTCTCATAAAAGTTACCAAAAAATTTAATTATTGAAAAAAATTTTTGATACTTCTACGAGAACATTCAATTATTTTCATAAATAATAAAATTTCATTTAGGAATTCAATTATTTTCATCACAGAATTTCAAATAATTTTAATACAATTTTAAATAAATTCCTCGAAAAATTTTATTATTATTCTTGAAAATTTTACTAAAACATGACAAAAGATTTCAAATTTAAGAAACATTTCATTATTCTATAAAATAATAAAATTCGTTGCAACGATTCAATTATTTTCATAAATAACTTTTAATTCGTCGCAGAAAATCAATTATTTTCATAAATTTTTAAGTAATTCTGCAAAAGAATTAAATTATCTTGATAAACAACGAAATTCTTCCCATAAAATCAATTATTTTAAGGAATTTAATTAAAATTCTTGCTAAAATTTCAATTATTTAAACAAAATTTAATAAAATTCTTCGCACGAATTCAATTATTTTCATAAATTATTATTTAAATTCTTTTCAGGAATTCAATTATTATTACAAAAATTTTAATGAAATTCTTCGAAAAGTTTTCAATTATTTTCAAAAATTGTTATAAAATTCTTTAATATAATAAATTTCAGTAAATTTTTAATTAAATTCCTCAAAAGAAATTAATTATTTTCAAAAGTTGTTAATAAAATTTTAAGAAAAATTCAATTATTGAAGAAATTATTCATTTTTGTATTTAAATCCAAATGTTTAGAAATAATTGAATTTTGAAAAGGTTTTAAATTCAAATCTTTGAAAATCAGAATTTTTCGTACATTTAACTAACAATAAAAAAATTAATTTAAAGAATAAAAAATAAATAAAAAAAATGTAAAATTAATTGTTTTGAAAAAGTTTAATTGAATTTTTTTTTGAAATATAACTGAAGAATTTCCAAATAGTCGAAATTTCGTAAAATTAAATTGAGAACAGATGGATTTGGAAATTCACAAAGAACTTTTTCAAAAATTATTAAGAATAATTGATTTAAAGAAAAATTCCAGTTAAAAATTCTAGAAAATAATAATTGAATTTAAATGATGAAAATAATTTCCAAGAAGTTAGAGTAACAATATTCTTACATAAAATAATAATTTTACTTATTAATTTTATCAATTTTAAGTTTAAAAAAATTTGTTAAGAGGAAAATTTTACTGTTTTCTAGGTGAAAAATTTTCCTTGTAACTTTGTAAACTTCAACGACGTTTTTCTAATTTGCACCCTATTAAAAAAAATTATTTCTCTAACAAAATATTTATCTAATTACAGAAAGGAACCGGATTATTCTCTGTTCTTCCACCGCCGAGATCAGAAATGTTATTAAAATCAAAACCAATGGTTCCCCATGTGATTTCAAAGAAGGAAATTCCCAAGAAAATATCAAAACCCCCAACGAAACCTATCGAACCAAAGAAACCAAAATCTCAAAATTCTCTAATATCCCATTACGATTCGAATTCCGACGACGAGGACAATAATTCAAAAATCGACTTCTTCTCCTTATCGACAAACGACGATATTCCTATGTCAAATATACCAATTACGGACATTGTTCAAGAAACCCTAAAAAATTCGAAACAATTCTCAAAATTGGAAACTCCCCAGCCAATGTTGATAGACGAGGAGTCAGACGAAATTCCCGACAAGAAACTCGTGAGTAATGTTATTAATTTACCAAAGGAGGAAATTATTCAAAAGAATAAAGCAGAAGTTGGACCTAAATTACCTGTACCCGAGCAAGAGTACAATATTGATTCAACCGGTAATCTTGTCTTTGATGAAAAGGCAATTGAATATCTTTGCGGTAAGCGCGGCGCAAAAAGGAAGAATAAAGAATTTAATGATGTTGATATCATTGATATTAATGGGGAGGATATTAAACCAGACGAGCGTGAATGGATGGTGAAGGCATTGACTGAAGAGCCAGTGACGAGGCCAATTTCACAAGGAGCCGGACCAAGTGGTCAATCAAAAAAGAAACATCAAATTACTTATTTGGCACATCAAGCGAAAGCCATGGAGGTCGAACTCAAAAATCAATGGGCGCAAAATAAACTCACGCGACAACAAACTCAATCTAAATATGGATTTTAGTTTTCAATTTTCAATGTTAATTTTTTCAATATAATTATTATTTTCTAGTTTAAATCATAATTTGTTCTTTTTTGTTTCAATTTATCCAAACTAATTAAATTGAAACAATCATTAAATGTACGTAAATTGTTTTAATGTAAAAAATGTAAAGTATTAAAAGTATTTTTACTAAGTTTTCCGTTTTTTTTTTAATTTTGCGAAATTCTACTTAATAGAAAAATTAATATATATTTTGATAATTGACAGGACAATAATATCAATCATAAAACGTAATAAATTCGACAATAATTTACTTTGATTATGTCAATAATCAATATTAATAATCGTTGGTATTTCGGATTGTTTCGTTTTCTAATATTCTTGATCATTTTTCTTTCTTTCGTAAGTTTCTTCATTTGTTTTATATTATTGTATTTTTTTAAATTTAAATTAATCATAGAAATTAAAAAAAATAATTTAATTTAAAACAATTTTGTTTAATTTCTTATTTAAATTATCTTCAAAATAAGGACTATAATTCTAGAATTATTATTTACTACTTCGTTAGTTATAAAATTACAAAATTGTGAGAAAAATTTATAAATTATTTTAATTTCCATAATTCGTGTTAATAAGTGAATTTTAATTAATTTTAAAAGATAACATTTTTGTTAAGAACAAAATTTTGCAAATTTTATGTTTTGAATTTACAATTTAATTCTTTCATAGAATATTATTAAAATTTTTGAAAATAATAATTAAATTCCTTCGAGAAATTTAATGGAAATTGTGTTGAAAGTAATTGAATTATTATAAAGATTTTTATTAAAATTTATTAAAAAATAATTTAATTTTTTCCAAAATGTTTAAATAATAAAATTGTAATAAAAATAATTTAAATCCTGCGATGAATTTTATTATTTATGAAAATAATGTAAATAATTTGATTTTATTAAAATTTACGAAAATAATTGAATTGTCAGGAAGAATTTTATTAAAACTTTTAAAATAATTCAATTCTTTCCAGAAATTTAATATAAATTGTATTTAAAGTAATTCAATTATTGTAGAGAGTTTTATCAACATTTTTCAACATAATTGAATTATTTTGAAGAATTTTGTGAAGATTTAAAAAAATAATTGAATTCTTTTGAGAAATTTTATTTAAATAATTAAAATGAAAATAATTAAAATCCTACGAACAATTGTTTCAAAATTTTTAAAATTTGTCAAATTTTCTCAAGAAAGTTAATTGAAATTGTAATGGAAATAACTGAATTTCTGTGAAGAATTTCAAAATTTATGAAAATATGTAATTAAAATCCTACGAAGAATTTTATTAAAATTAATAAAATTAATTATTTAAATTAAATTCAATTATTGAATAGAATTTTATCAAAATTTTTGTAAAATATTTGAATTTTATCAAAGAATTACATTAAAATTTATAAAAGTAATAAAATTTTTTACAGAAATTTTTTTTGAAAATTATAATGAAATTAATTAAATTCCTGTAAAGAATTTTATTATTTATGAAAATATTAAAAACTGTACGAAAAGGTTTATTATTATTTTTAACATTAATTAAATTCTTTCGAGAAATTTAATTGAAGTTGTATTGAAATTAATTGGTTATTGAGAATTTTATCAAAATTTTCCAAAATAATTGAATTTTATTTAATATTTGTAAAAAATAATAAAATCTTTAAGAAAAAATTGTTTATTTATGACAATAATTTAATTTCTACGAAGAATTTTATTATTTACCAAAATAATTGAATTCTTTCGTTGTTATTTATGAAAATAATTGTCACGAAGAATTTTAATAAAATTATTGAAAATAAAATTTTTCCCGTAATTTAATTGAAATTGTATTGAAAATTTAAAAGTAATTTAATTATTGTAGTTAATTTTATCAAAATTTTTGAACATAATTGAATTCTTTTGAAAAATTTTATTAAAATTGCCATGAAAATAATCGAATTCTTTTGAAGAATTTTATAAAGATTTATAAAAATAGTTGGATTCTTTTTAGAATATTTTTGAAAATGTAATGAAAATAATTGAATTCCTGTGACGAATTTTAATATTTATGAAAGTAACTGAAATCTCATGAAGAATTTTTATTATTTATGAAAATATTAAAAATTCTACGATTAAAATTTTAATGAAAATAATTGAATTCTTGTGAAGAATTTTAATATTTATGAAAATAACTGAAATCCTATGAAGAATTTTATCAAAATCTTTGAAAATATTTGAATTTTATCGAATAATTGTATTAAAATTTATAAAAATAATTAAATTCTTTCGAAAAATTTGTTTATTTATGAAAATAATTAAATTTCTACGAAGAATTTTATTATTTTCAAAAATAATTGAATTATTTCGAAGAATTTTATTAAGAGTTTTGAAAGTACATAATTGAATTTATTCAAAGAATGTTGTAAAAAAATTTATAATAAAAAAAGATAATAATTAATTTGTTAATAAGGGGTTTTAATTCTTTAAAAAAAATTTTAATTTATTTAAAAGCAAACGCTTTTAAATTTCAAATCTAAAATAATTCAAAAATTAAATTTTGTATTCGAAAATAAAAAATTTCTAATTTGCATAATAATAATAAATTAAATACGGCGTTTCGTGCACTAGCGCGCGTAATATATTCTGGTATAAAGTAATAAATATAGTAAAAAGTAAAAATTTTGACAATAATTCACTTACTTTTGTTTATTATCTTCTTTGGGTATAAAAATAGAAAACTGTACAACTATTGATTCGGTATCACGTAAGTCTCTCCACAACCATTTTCTCGATTTTCTCCAATTCCTTCTTCTTACTTTCCAATGCTGCTTTCGCTTGTAATAAATTTGGCGGCAATTCTGCGTATTTATTCAATTGTTTATTTAATTCCGTTAATTCGATCAATTTCTCCATGCAAATATCCGATGTTTTTATAATTACATCAGGATGTAAATCATTAATATTCAAATCCTTCAATTGCTCATTCATTTTAGCAACTTTATTTCGATATGTCTCTAATTTCGAAAGAATTAGTAATCGTTCGGATTCCTCGTTCTTCTCGTCATTCAATTGAATAATTTTTCTCTCCAACGAATTTATTGAATTCTTCATTGAATCCAATTTTTCTTGCATTCTCTTATATTTTTTGAAAGCAATATCGTAATTCATTTTAAATTCAGCTTCGTCGCGTGCTTTCTTTTTCGTTTCCAATTCCTTTTGTTGCATGTGTATTTCTAATGTTGAGAGATCCATGTCAGTTAGTCCTTCGATTTTCAAAATATCACAAACTTTATTGAGACCATCTTTAATATCGTTTGGTAATGATTTCAATTCAATGCCAATTTCTTTTAAAAATGATGAGATTTCATTTTCGAGTGCGATATTTTCAGCTACACTCTCAACAATCACGTCGTTGAGTATTTTTAATTTTTCTTGCATCTCAGGAATAACGTCGCCATCGAATTGTCGCGAATCCAAAGAAACTGCTGAACTGTTGTTGGAACTCAGCGTTGAATTGCGATTAATCTGAAAATTAAAAGAGAATTTGAAATTATAACTTTAAATAATTTAATTTCGTAAAATTGGTTAAATTTTATATTAACGAAAAAGAAATTTACATTTTTAGTGAATAAAACTTATTATTTTAATAAAATTTTTTTAAATAAAATTAAATTTTTTCAAGACATTTAATTGCTCTTGTATATTAAAAATAATTCAATTATTATTGTAGAGTTTTATCAAATTTTCTGATAATTTTTCTTTCTTTCGATAGTTTTTCTTTTGTTTTATAGGGTAACTGCACCAATTGCCGAGGGTGCTCCAATTGTCGAGGATAATAATTTTCTTTTTTAGATAAATAGTATAATATATAATATTTAAGAACAAAAAAAATTTCTAAATAATCTTTGTATTTTCAACTGTATATTTATATGTACAAATTTCGTAGCGATTCTACTAAAATAATTATTTAATTAATATTATAATTCACTGCTGTGAAATTTACACGAATCTCCATTTTCTTAATACTTCAGGTTGATTAAAACAGATTTTTAGAAATGCAAATTAAACGTATTTATAATGACTTTTTGTGTACAAAATTATTATTATAATTTTGTACACGAACTAAATTAATTTTGTATGCATGTTTTTTTGTTAAAAAAAAATATTTAATATTTTTTAAAAGCAAATCATCGGTATTTGGTTCCTTTTTTTTGACAGTTCCATTTTTCGAGGTAATGACTCGAAAATTGGTGTAGTCACTTTTTTCGCTGATGCACCATTTATTGATGGTTAAGTGTTTATTTACTAAACGTCAAACATAAATGCCAAACATTAATTATAGGTACAGAGAAAAAGAAAAAAAATGCTCCAAAAATTTACAACCAACAGAAAATAATCAACAAAAAAAACGAGGAAGACCGAAAAAAAATTAATAAAAAAATGCATTATTTAAAACTAAAAAATTTTATACTATAGTTTAATTATAATTAACCATTATATTTACAGTTCGTAGGTAATAAAAGTTTATTTTATTCGTTTACAAATTTAATGTGACTTAAATTAATTTATTTTTTCAATTAATGTCTGATTAACAAAATTGATTAAATTTAATTAACTTATATTTATAAAAGTTTAAAAAACAGTTAAATAATTTTCTGTCCTGTATCATCTACTATAAACATGTTTTATATCGATATTATAAATTATTCAATTATAGTTAAATAAATATATTTGTTTTCTGGTAATGTTCTATAATATTTTTATCGAAAAAATAAATATCTACTCGATTTTCTAATATCTGTACAGGTTAATTGTTAGGTTATATTGGGTTATATGTTTAAAAATGTCATACCCTCGACAATTGGAACAGACCCTCGAGAAATTAGCACAAGACCATCGACAAATGGTGCTTTTGCTCGATTGACTTTTAAATATATTTTTTGCTTAACAATTTAGTTTATATTAAAACAATAAATATGAATATTAAACATTATTAGATCCTTCGTCCAAATATACAAAAATCAAATTTTAAAGTGCATTTACTTCCGAGAAAAAAAATGTCAAAGTCGCATGTTGCCTAAAACCCTCGACAATTGGTACAGTTACCCTATTATTGTATTTTTTTAAATTTAAATTAATTGTAGAAACTAAAAAAAATTTAATTAATTTAAAACAATTTTGTTTAATTTCTTATTTAAATTATCTTCAAAATAAGAACTATAATTCTAGAATTTTTATTTACTACTTCATTAGTTTTAAAATTCAAAAATTGCGAGACTTTTGTAAATTTTATGTTTGAATTTACAACAATTTAATTCTTTCATAGAATATTTTATCGAATTAATTAGAATTTTATCGAAGAATGTTATTAAAATTTATAAAAATAATTAAATTTATACGAAATATTTGTTTATTTATAAAAATAATTAAATTCTTTTGAAGAATTTTATGAAGATTTATAAAAATAATTGGATTCTTTTGAGAAATTTTGGAACTCAGTGTTAAATTATTATAATTAATCTGAAAATTAAAGAATAATTTGAAATTATAACTAAATAATTTAATTTCGCAAAATTGGTTAAATTTTATATTAACAAAAGAGGAATTTCCATTTTTACCGAAATAAAACTTGTTATTTAATAACATTGAAAAATAATTATACCCTATAGTAAATAATTATATTCGTAAATTCTAATTAATTATCATTTTTACGAAATGTTTTATTTTGTGCCGTAAATTATAAATAAAAAGATTAGAATTCAAAAAAATTTGAGGTTATGTTTCGAAAATATTGAAAACAATGATGGTTTACCTCTTGGGTGAAATCCATTTTTCAATTTTGTCTCTTTCCTTCAATCGATAATATTAATATTACTAAAATACGGTATTTCAATAATTTTTCACTTAAAAAAATAACTTTAATTTGTAAAATAACATTAAATGTTTGACAGTTGTATAAACAAATTTTCAACGGAAAATGAGAAGCGCCTCTGGTGTCGTTGTTCAAGAACTATAATGATTGTGATCACGTGACCAACAAAAGTGTCATGGCGCCGCGCATGGTTGTCAACAAAAATGAGATCTCCGGAAATTTTTATTTATAACTTTTGCTGATTCAATTATTTTCCAATGTATTATCACAATTTTTTTATATAATTTTACATTCTGTAATTATTTAAGACTGTTTACAAAATTTCAAGTTGAATTTTTATAACCTTACAACCTTGGAAGTGACCGTCAGATGACCGTCAAATTGTCAAATATGTTTTTTATATTATATTTATAAATATTTATTAGTGGACATGGTGGATTTAAAATTTGTAAAATTATAGTTTATTAAGAGGAACAATATAGTTGTAAGTACTTTGAATTTTTTTCATATTTTTAAGTAAATGGTTAACATAACCTAGATTTTTAACTTTATTTTGTTTTCCTTATTTAGGTTTTTGAGAAATATTTTGCTAATTTATCTGTATTATTAGTTATTACTTTATACACTATTTTTTGTTTCTTTCAATTATTGTTTAATTTCCTTACAGTTGACTATTTTTTTAATTCTACGATTAAAATTGTAACATTTAATTTTTCTACATTGGTTTTGTTATTATGATTGTTTCTGTAGTTTTTTTTGTGGATTTTAATTTTTTCAATGATTTTAAGAATTTTAATTTCATTTCTAATGGTTTAATATAATTTTAGTAGTTTTAATATAATTTTAATATTCTAGTTTCGATTTTAATTTCAGATTGAAAATTCTGGTGGTAAAAAGATTTATTTTTAAAAATGCAGTCTCATCGAGCTTTCTATATTTTTGGATTTAATGTGCAAAATTATTTAAAAATAATTCGGCGTTTAAATTGTACCCTCAGTAATCATCACACTGCCGGAATACTCAGTGAGTATAATATAATTTATTGCAGCCAATAATTATTAGTTTAATTACTAAAATTACAAAATCAATAAAAATAGAAATTTCAAAAAAATTAAATTATTATTTTTTTCCAGTAATTGGCGATGAAATTCTAAAAGCACAAGTAAAAGACACGAATTCTCATTTCATATCAAATCTTCTATACAAATGTGGAGTAAAAGTGAAGAAGGTGAGTTTCGTCAATTTTATTTTTTGATCGGAATACAATTAAATTATTGATTAAATCTAAATTAATTTTTAATAGATATAAAAGATTTATATTATAAATTTAAATTAGAAAAAATTAAATTTTAGAAATAGATATATAAGTAATTAAATTTAAATTACTAATTTAGAGTAAATTAAAATTAGAGTAACATTAAATCGGAGTAAAATAACATCAGAGTAAAATTAAATTTTGTTTAAAATTAAATTAGAATAAAATTAAATCGGAGAAAAATAACATTAGAGTAAAATTAAATTTAGATTAAAATGAAATCAGAATAAAATTGGAGTAAAATGAAATTGGAATAAAATTAGAGGAAAATTTACCATTAATGAATTGTTTATATAAAAATTTTTGTTATTTTTGTTAATTTTTGTTAATTGCAAAAAATGTTTTATTGCAGATTTCTGTTTTAAGTGACGATGTCGATGAGATTGCAAACGAAATTCGCGATTTCTCCAGGAAATATACTCATGTCATCACTTCCGGTGGAATTGGACCCACTCACGATGATGTGACTTTTGAAGGTAATTTACAGTACAATTATTATTTAATATTTTAAAAGAATTTTTAACAAAAGAAATTTTGCAGGTCTCGGAAAAGCTTTTGGATGTCCACTCTATTATCATCCAACGTTAGTTGATATTGTAAAAAATAAATTCGGAGTCACGAGTGATTCTTCGCCTGGTTTCAAATTAGCCTACGTGAGTTTTTTTTTCACTCTTTTTTCCAAATAAATTAATCTAACTACAATTTTATTATTAATTATTAATAATATTATATAATAAAATATTCACACATTCCTAAACTTGTTAATAAGACACTGGATAGTAAATTATAATTTTAGTTTTTTAATTTTAGAATTGATTTGTTTACTCAGAATTGAATTAATTAGTTAATTTAATTAAAATTAATTAAAAAATTGAAATTAAATTTAATAATTAGTATTTAATAAATAATAATGTAATAAATTGGTTTAAAAAAAATATTCACAGATTCCAAAAGAGGCTTCTCTGTATTTTGGAGTAAATCACGAGACAGGCCGACCTTTGGCTTATCCTTGTATAAAATTAAAAAATGTTTGTGTTTTTCCCGGTTCACCAAATTTTCTCCGAGGATCTTTCGGCTCTTTGTACAATGTAAAAAAATATTTCAAATTTCATAACTATTGGAGAAAAAAATTATAATTTAACGTGAAGAAAATTTATTGCAGAAACTTTTCGGAACTAACAAAAATTTTGTCACCACTCAAGTTTTCTTGAATGCCAGAGAGGAAGTATTCGCCGATGCATTGACATCAGTTTCCAAAGAATTTCCACTAGTCAATTTTGGCTCCTATCCCGAATTTATACACAGGTGAATACTAAATTATTACTAAATTAATAAATTATCAATTTAATAAATTATCAAATTAATAAATTATTATTAAACTATTAAATTATGAAATTATTGTTAAATTTTTAAATTAATAATTATTAGAACATCAAAATTAGAAAAGTGATTCATAACAAAAAAAATACTTTTCAGTTATTACAGAGCACGGATTACAATTGAGAGTGACACTGAGGCCATGACGCAAAAAGCCAAAGAGAGATTTTGCAGTTTAATACCGACAAATATTTTAATTGACTACGATAGTTCTCCAATGGAAAATGTCATAATGAAATATGAACATTTTCTAGATAACCAAAAGGAAAAACGAAATTTTTACGAAAATTCCCTGCGACACATTGAGTAAATTAAATTATCGATAATTTTTCAAATATTATAAATTTCAATTTCGTTTTTATTAAATAGTTTTTTGTCTTGTTATTCAGGTATATTTATCAAGACACGGACAATGTGGGAATTTATTTCGATTCAAATGTCGAATCAACTGTAATGTTACATTTGGCTTTCGTTGCAAACAAACGAATTCTCAAGAATGGAAATAAATTGCGACTACTTTGCTTTCAAAAAGAAACACTCTCCCCTGCAGACGAGGATTTTCTCAACCAATTAATAGACACGTAAGAATCACCTCTGTATTTAATAACAAAAAAAAAAATATATCTGAACAATGGATTTAAAAAACAAAAAAGTATCTGAACAATGAATTTAAAAAACAAAAAGTAATTTGTTAAATTTCTTTTTCATAATTTCTAATCGAGAGGGAAATAAATTTTTCTTTCCAGGTACAATGCTGATATAATGCTATTTAAAGAAACGCCACAAAAAGATATTGAAGTTCTAAAATGGAAGATACCGAAATTAAAGTTTATTTTAGTGGGCGCTAAATCGGATGTGGAGAAAAGGGAAATTTACAATTTAAAAGATGACGTTTTAAATGGAATTAAAATAGAATTTCCACTAATGAATTGGACCGACACGGACGTCTGGACATTCGTGAGATCTCTTTCACTTTCCTATTGCCCTATTTACGATAAAAGTTAATTTATAAAATTCTATAAAAAAAAAATGGAAAAATTTAACTACCTCATTTTCAATGTCTTCATCTGACATTTAATTTACAGAAAAATATTTAATATAATTCTTCGACTAATTGAAATGCAAAAATAAAAAAAAAATCGAAAAAGAGTAAATATAACGTAACAGTTTGTGATACTTTGTAAATATTTAATATTTAATATAATTTTTCAGTGAGTTAAATAAAAATAATTTAAAATCGTTAATTTGTTATCATTTAAAAGTAAAAATGATATTTTACTCTAGTTATATTTTTGAAATTAGGAAAAAATTGTGAAAACTTTTTTTATATTCTTTTTTTAGTTGAAAATTTTGCCTTCGTTAATAATTTAAGTTTTCTTTATTTCGAATTAGAAAGTTTTTTTTTTTTATTTTTCCAATTATATGTAGACGAAACCAGAAGCATCGTAAAAATCCAATTCTCCAGTGCAATGCAATTCTGAATAGAAAGAACAAATGTCTTTTAAATTAAATTGAAATTGATTTAATTTAAATTTAAAATTGCTATTTCAGTTTGATATTCATTTATTTTTCTTCATTTTTCATTTACTTTCCATTCACTTTTTTTATATTTTACTCTGAATTGGTTTTTTTTTTTAAATTTTCAATATAATGGTATATTTTAAATTTACTTTTATTATAGAATAGCAATTTATTTTGTTCCTTATTTTTATTTCATATTTATTTAAAAATCAAGTTATGTATTTATTTATGAAGTTTCTTTTTTCTGTTCGCTGTTTATTTTTCGTTCATTAAACGTCAACAATTTTTATTTATTTTTGTAGACTTATATTTATATTCATATTTATATTCATAGTTATATTTATATTCACATTAACATTTATATTTTTATTTATATTTATTTTTATTTATTTTTTTTTATTTAATACTTTTTATTTTTATATTTGAAAGTGATGTATTGTTTTTTACAATTCTATTTATATTTTTATTATTTTTTCGCCATTTGTCTTTTTTGCCTTTTTTACTCTTCAGATATTAAAATTATCGGTGAAAAAAGGTTTAATATTCATTCGATTCACATTTTTTTGATTAAAAAATATTCCGTTTTTATTGAAAAGAAGGTGGAATGTTAAAAGTTTCTTTTCTTAAAAATCGATTATGTAAAACTGCAGTTACTCCTCTGTCTAAAACTCTCTCAAAATTTTTTTAACTATAAAGCATCACATGCTTTGAATGAGATTAAAGCTCGAATAAGACACTTTTAAAATCTGAAAATGAAAATTTAATTCAGAATTAATAAAATTAATCTATTCTTTGATACTCTAAAAATTGAATTTTTCCCTTTTCTTGTAAATTACAAAATACAAATATTAGAAATATTTTTCAAAATATTTTCGTTTATGCGATATTGTCAAACTGCATACCTTGAGAAACGTTTCCAGTGACATTGTAACAATTGACAAACCACTCAATTCTATTGGCTTTGCCGAACGTAATATTATGAGAATTAGAAATCTTTTCGATTTTATCGATAAATTTGTCCAATTTATTTCGTAGGCCGCGTCTGCGATGCCTGCACTCTAGAAATATATTTTATTATTTTAAATTATACTTAAAGTGTACTCACAATTAATTAACATTGATTTTAATTACTTAGTAATTATTTTAATTACCTAATTATTTTTATTAAACAAATTTTTATTAAAAATAATTACCATTAATTTTAATCTCTTAATTATTCTAATTAAAAGTAATTAATTTTAATTACTTAAAAAAATATTATCTCAAGATACAGTATTAATTACACTTGATTAAACAAATAATATAACCGAGTGTAATTAAAATATTTTATGTCTTTTCTAAAATTACTATTATCATATTTCTTTATAATTTATTATTCATAAAATAATTAATTATTTTTTTATTATTAATTAATTATTCATTTATTATTAATTAATTATTCATTTATTATTAATTAGTTATTCATTTATTATTTATTTACTATTGCTGTATATTTTTTTGTATATTTAATTTATTTATTGTACTTTTATTTGATTTTTTTTAACTGTTTACTTTCGTTGATAACTTTAATAAAAATGACCATTAACGTTGAACGATATTGTGCACCTTTCCTATCAGTTTCTGACCAAACCAACAGAAAATAAATATTTCAAATAGAAGTGTATTTGTGGATGCAACTGAGGACCAAAATTTCACTGAATTTGGATTTGCTGATGATATTTGATAAATAACCGAACACAATGCAATTATTGTAATCAGAAATATTAGAATCACCATCCAACCAAGAAGATTGTTCATTTTTTTCCCGATTCTAGAAAAATTTGAATTAAAATTTTTTAGGAATATAGAAAAATAGAGATTGGAGGAAAATTAAGAAAAGTAATTAAAATTATTAGGAAAATAAAAATAGAAATTCAAATTGTAGTCAAATAAAAATAAAAATTGAAATTTTAAATAATATTATAACTAAAAACTAATTTTAAATAATAAATTTTTAAAAGAATGTAAAAAAATAAATTTTTTAAATAAATTATAATAAAACTCACAAATAAACGTAGGAATGATGAGCCAAACATTTTTTGAGAATAATAAATTGTGTTTGACTATCGATATTATTATTTTCATCATTTAATTTATTAATTTGATATAAACGGTGCTTGATAATGTCCAATTGACCGCAAATTTTTTGCATCATTCCAATGGCGAGACCATCCAATGCAATCTGAACGTGCATCATTACTATCATTACCGATGATTCATGTAAATAAGTCATCCAAAAATTAAATTTCGAATACATATTGTACGGAGTCCAAATTTTCATCGGCATTGAATTTTCAATATTCTTCGATACCAATGTCAAAAATACAAAATTAAATACAAAATAAACGTAAGACAGTCCAAGAAGTCGTATAGAATTAATTCTGAAAACAAAGAAACGACATTTTTTTTTTGGTGGAATTTTTAAACTTTCTCTTTTATTCGAAAAAAATATTTCCAATTCCTAATTTCAGGAAATTAAATTTTCAGAAAATTAAATATTGAAAATAAAGAAAGATTTCGGTAAAAAATTTTGAGGAAATTTTTTAAGAAATTTTTGAAGAAATTAAAATTTTAGGAACATTTTGAAATAAGAAATTAGAGGAAAATTAAAATATGTAAAATAAAATTAAAATACGAAATTAAAAAAAACCAACCTATTCGAATTGTCGATTTCAATCTGCACATCAAATTCATAATCATCACAAGGTATGCATTGTTTCTTCAAAAACATATCGTCAAATTCAATAATATCATTGCGACGTAACAAAACGTAAAGAACTTTTAAATTCAATCCAAATACTGTCACGAAGAACATAACATTTTTCATCAATTCCTCAACATCGGTTGGAACAAGAATTATATAAAGTAACACTGAACCATCAAGTGTGAGAAATAGAAAAACAATTAAAAAACTATAGAAATTATACAATAAAATTGTCCATTGCGATATTAACGATTTTGGACGCCAAACACCAGAATATTGCAATATTGTAAATGAAAATTTTGCCGTATTCATATTGCTGTTTGAAATCGGTAAATGAACCATAATAATATTCGCAAAAAGAGAGAATAAAACGCAAACTATATAATTTTAAAACCCTTTTTGTTTCCACAATGCAAATCAATCTAATATTGTGTGTATATATTCTTTGTTGAAAGCAAGTTTTTCAAAGAACATCATCATTTATGAATTAGTAATTACAAGAAGCTCCTTTAAGAATATTTAATTATGTAAAAGTGCGTGCGTGTTGATAAAGCGTGTATAAAATAAATTGCAAGAAGAAAATTATAATGACGAATGTCTCGGTACATTGTTAATAATTGATTATTCCAAGAAATTTATTGGCGCGAAGTGTAGAAACTATAAGTTAAACTGTAAGTAATTTTATTTTCAGTCAGTTCAACGTCAACCTTCGTAGAGTTCTCATCATCTTTTACATTTTATCACTTTGGCTAAATAAAAGCTTTTTGACACATTGTTAATTTTGTGTATTTGTAAAAATAATCGTAACATTTTCACATAATAATGATAAATACTACACTTAATTTTTTTTCAAGACGAGAAACAACAAGGTCGAGAAAAAAAATTATTTTGAAAAGAAAAAACACGAAGGTAAAAGTAAAGTGCGTGGAGAAAAAAATTTGATTATTAGAAATACGAAATTATTCTTCAAAAATGAAAAATTAAGCATAAATTTTAATTATAATGAATTTTAATTGTAAAGTTTACAATATCAAACTGTTAAAATTTGAAAGGGAAGAAAAAAATTAATATTTTTGAAAAAGAATATCAAAAGAAACAATAAGGAGACAGAAAATTTTAAATTAAATTTTTTGAAAAAGAATACCAAAAGAAAAAGGGGAATAGAGAATTTAAAATTATGATTTTTGAAAAAGAATAGGTAATAAAAGAAGAGTGAAATGGAGAATTTTAATATAAAAATTCTATTAATGAAATCGAGATAAAAATAATTTTAAAAAGTCATTAATGACAAAATTGTCCTCTATTGCCTTTAACTACTGATTGCTAATTAAAACCGACAGAAAATGATAGTGTCTGACTAAAACTGACTTATACTACTGTTACTCGCATGAAATTAATAAAAAAAAAAGTGTTTTCGAACTGAAACTGACCTAAATAGACTTTAAATACTGATTTTTAAATAAAGAAGACACAAAATTATCGTGTCTGACTAAAAACTGACCTCTACTACTGATATTTGAACGAAAATAACAAAAAAAAGTATTTTTTTTAACTGAAAAGCATTTTAACTACCGATTCTGTCTATAACAGAATAAAAATTATTATGTCTGACTAAAAGTGACTTCTACTACTGATATTCGAACGAAAATAGTAAAAAAAGGTTAAGTTAAACTGAAACTAACTTAAATTGACTTAATTTACTGATTTTTGACTAAAATAAATTCATAATTGTCATGTTTGACTAAAACTGACTCGTACTACTTATTTTCGAACAAAAAGTATAAAAAATGTTTAGTTAAACTGAAACTGACTTAAATTGTCTTTAACTACTGATTTCTCTTTAAAATAGTTTGCAAATTATCTAGTCTGACTAAAAGTGTCTCCTACTACTAATATTCGAACAAAAATAATAAAATTACTTTCTTTATTAATAATTGAAACTGATTTTAACTATTGTTTTCAGACTAAAATCAAAAAGAAAATTTCATGTCTGACTAATACATGTTTTTACTACTGATATTAATAATAAATTAAAAAAAAAATTCTTGTCTGACTAGAACTAATTGTAATTACTGATTTCTAACTAAAACATAATAAAAATTATCGTGTCTGACTAAAACTGACTTCTACTACTGATATTTGAACGAAAATAACAAAAAAAAGTATTTTTTAATTTTTTAATTGAAAAACATTTTAACTACTGATTTATAAATAAGGCAAACACAAAATTATCGTGTCTGACTAAAAACTGACTTCTACTACTGAAATGTGAATAAAAATAATTTAAATAAGTCTTTAATGATTAAAGCTGTCCTCCATGGACTGTAACTACTGATTTCTAAATAAATCAGACAAAAAATTATCGTGTCTGACTAAAACTGACTTCTACTTGAAATATTTGAACGCAAATAATGAAAATAAAATGTTTCTTAACTAAACTTGATTTTAACTATCTACTGATTTCTGACTACCTATAACAGACTGAAAATTGTCATGTCTAATCAATAATGTCTTTCACTACTGATGTCTGTATTAAAATAATTAAAGAAAGTCATGTCTGACTAAAACTGATTTTAACTACTGAAGTTAAGAAAGAAAGAATGAAAATAATGATGTCTGTCTAAAATGGATTTTTCTACTATGCTGATATTCGAACGAAAATAATTAAAAAATATTTTTTTAGAATTATAATTATTGACTTTAATTACTAATTTCGTATCAAAACAGATTGTTAATAGTCATGTCTGATTTATTTATGTCCGAAATCAAATAAATTTAAATTTGATGAGAAAAAAACTGGGAAAAGTTAGGACGATGCCGGGAAAAAACCGTGAATTTTGTTGAACGAAAATAGTAGACACCCTGACTCGATGTTTGTATTAAAATAATTTTAAAAAATCTTGTCTGACTAAAACTGATTTTAATTGATTTTAATTACTGAGTTCTAACTAAAACATAATGAAAATTATTATGTGAAAATCTGTTTATTATAGTTAAACTGAAACTGACTTAAATTGTCTCTAACCACTGATTTCTCACTAAAATAGTTTGCAAATTATCTAGTCGGACTAAAACTGTCTTCCACTACTGATATTTGAACGAAAATAATAAAAATACTTTTTCCATTAATCACTGAAATTGATTTTAACTACTGATTTCAGACTAAAAGAAAAAAAAAATCATGTCTGACTAATACTGACTTTTACTACTGATATATGTATTAAATTTTAAAAAAAAAGTCTTGTCTGACTAAAACTGATTTTAATTGATTTTAACTACTGATTTCTAATTAAAATATAAAGAAAATTATCGTGTCTGACTAAAACTGACTTCTACTACTGATATTCAAACGAAAATAGTATAAAAATATCTAGTTAAACTGCAACTGACTTGATTTACTGATTTCTGTCTCAAATAGATTTATAATTGTCATGTCTGACTAAAACTGACATGTACTACTGGTATTTAACGAAAATGATAGAAAACTGTTCTTTCTAACTAAACTTGATTTTAACTACTAATTTCAAACAAAAACAGATTAAAAATGGTCATGTCTGACAAAAAATGACTTTTACTACTGATATTTAAACGAAAATATTAGAAAAATATTTTTATATTTTTCCTTGTTAAATTTTACTAAAATTGACTAGAATAATTTTTCTGCTTTTCATAATTTAAAAAAAATTCAGCTGGGCCTGTGTAAATGACAAAACTAATTTTGACAATATTAAATTATCAATTATTTGATTAATACAGTCAAATTTAATTAATTATTTAGTTATTATTAATATTTTAAATGTGTTTCTTAATTTCTTTACGTACAATTATATCGAGTAAGATAGAAAATAATTTTTTCAAACATTTTCAAACAACTATAATATTTTAAAATAGTAATTAATTGTATTTTTCAAAAATTCGCCGCAACTGGAGCACCCATATATTTATGTTCATAGTTATATTTATATTTTTTATATTTATTTTTATATTTATTATTGTTTTTATTTTTGTTTTCATTTCTTTTATTTAATAGTTTTTATTTTTATATTTAAAAGTGATATTTTCTTTTTACAATTCATATTTCTTTTTTTTATTATTTTTTTCGTCATTTGCCCTTTTTGCCTTTTTTACTGTTCACATATTATAACCACGGGCATCATTAATATCGTTACCATTGATTCATAAAAATAAGTCATCCAAAAATTAAATTTCGAATACATATTGAAGGGAGTCCAAATTTTCATCGGTATTGAATTTTCAATGTGCTTCGATACCATTGTCAAAAATACAAAATTGAATACAATATAAAGGTAAGCCAATCCAAGAAGACGCATAGAATTAATTCTGAAAACAAAAAAACAACATTTTTTTTTAAACTTTCTCTTATATTCGAAAAAAAATATTTCCAATTCCTAATTTCAGGAAAATAAATTTTAAGAAAATGAAATTTTGAAAATAAAGAAAGATTTCGGTAAAAATTTTAAGGAAATTTTTAAAGAAGTTTTTGAAGAAATTAAAATTTGAGGAACATTTTGAAATAAGAAATTAGAGGAAAATTAAAATACAAAATTAAAAGAACCAACCTATTTGAATTGTCGATTGCAATTTGCACATCAAATTCATAATCATCACAAGGTATGCATTGTTTCTTCAAAAACATATCGTCAAATTCAATAATTTCATTGCGATGTAGCAAAACGTAGAGAACTTTTAAATTCAATCCAAATAATGTCACGAAGAACATAACATTTTTCATCAATTCCTCAACATCGGTTGGAACAAGAATTATATAAAGTAACACTGTACCATCAAGTGTGAGAAATAGAAAAACAATTAAAAAACTATAGAAATTATACAATAAAATTGTCCATTGTGATATTAACGATTTTGGACGCCAAACGCCAGAATATTGTAATATTGTAAACGAAAATTTTGCCGTATTCATATTGCAGTTTGAAATTTGCAGTAAATGTAACATATTCGTAAAAAGAGGGAATAAAACGCGAACTATATAACTTTAAAACCCTTTTTGTTTTCACAATTCAAATCAATCTAATTTAAGAATATTAATAATAATAATAATAATAATAATATAATTAACGGTGCGTGCGTGTTAGTAAATCTTGCATAATATAAATTGCAAGGAGAAAATTATAACGACGAGTGTCTCGGAACACTGTTAATAATTGATTATTCCAAGAAATTTATTGGCGTGAAGTGTGGAAACTATAAGTTAAACTGTAAGTAATTTTATTTTCAGTCAGTTCAACGTCAACCTTCGTAGAGTTCTCATCATCTTTTACATTTTATCACTTTGGCTAAATGAAAGTTTTTTGACACATTGTTAATGTTGTGTATTTGGAAAAATATTCGTAACATTGTCACATAATAAGAATAAATACTATACTTTATTTTTTTCCATGCGAGAAAAAAATTTATGTTCAAAAAAAGAAACACAAAGGTAAACAAGTAAAGTGCGTGGAGAAAAAAAATTTGATTACTAAAAATACGATATTATTCTTAAAAATGGAAACTTTTGCATAAATTTTAATTATAAAGAATTATAATTATAAAGTTTAAAATAAAAAAATTGTTAAAATTTGAAATTAAAAAGAAGAAAGATTAAAATTATAACTTTTGAAAAAGAATAGCAAACGAAAAAGGGAAATAGAAAATTTAAATTAAAATTTTTTGAAAAAGAATACCAAAAGAAAAAGAGGAATAGAAAATTTATTATTAAGATGCTTGAAAAAGAATACTAAAAGAAAAAGGGAAACAGAAAATTAAAAATTTAAATTTTTGTAAAAAAAATACTGAAAAAAGAGGGAAAAAGAAAATTTTAAATTAAATTTTTTTTAAAAAAGAATAACAAAAGAAAAATAGAAAATTTTAAATTAAGAGTTTTAAAAAAGAATACTAAAAGAAAAAGAGAGAAAATGGAAATTTTAAATTAGAATGTTTGAAAAACAATATTAAAAAAGAGAAGAAGAAAATTTTCGAAAAAGAATAACAAAAGAAAAAGAAAAATAGAAAATTTTAAATTACGGTTTTTTGAGAAAGAATACTACAAGAATAAGGAAATAAGAAAATTAAAAATTTCAATTTTATAATAACTAGGGCAAGAAGAAAAGAATCTTAAATATTGAGAATGTTTTATTAAATAAATATTTATTTATTCACTTGAATTAATTTCAAAAATATTCTTTTTAATTAAAAAAAATTTTCCCTCCTATTATTAATTTGAAAAAAAAAATAAATACTGTAAAATTGAAGGAAAAAATTGAATTTTCTTTCAACTAAACAATCACATGGTTTGAATGAGATTGAAACTTGAATAAGACACTTTTAAAATCTGAAAATGAAAACAATTGAGAATAATAACAATAGTGAAGATTCATAATTATTCATTTCTTTAATTTCTTTTCAATTAATTTATTTTTAGTCAATTAATAAATTAATACGCTGAAAAGAAAAATTTATTTAATTCAAATAAATGATTTGATAATTCAAATAATTTATCTATCATTAAATTAATATTAACTTCAATTTAGTAATTTTAATTGAAATCGAATAAATTTTATTTGAACCGAAAATATTTCAATTTGAAGCAAATACCATTTAATTGACATGAATAAAATTCATTTGATAGTTGATACAAATAAATATTTAATTGATACAAATAAATATTTAATTGATACAAATAAATAAATAGTGAATAGAAATAAATAAGTAGAGAAGTAATCGTTGATTTGAATCAAATAAATTTTTTTCAGTTTAAATAAATGACTCTTGTAACAATAAAAAAAAAATTTTTTTCTTTTTTTGAAATTACAAATAATTTTCAAACATATTTTCGTTAATTCGAAATTGTCAAACTGCATACCTTGAGAAACGTTTCCAGTGACATTGTAACAATTGACAAACCACTTAATTCTATTGGCTTAGCAGCACGTAATATTATGAGAATTAAAAATTTTTTCGATTTTATCGATAAACTTGTCCAATTTATTTTATAGGCCACATCTGCGATTTCTGCACTCTAGAAATAAATTTCATTTACACTCGAAAATTATTTTTTACTCTGAGCACACAAATCAAAGAACTAAAAGTGCATTTACTGAAAATATAGAATTTTTGAATTTTTTTATTCAAGTATTTTTCAAATATTTGCCTCAAGTAATAATGGAATTTTGAATTGCAATTAATATTGAAAATTTTGAATTCCTTTCAATAATGTTTGCAATTTAGACCAAAAAAAAGGGAATTTTTTTTGCAAAAAGGGACAAATTAAATGTTGAAATAAAATTGAGCACCTTTCCTATCATTTTTTGACCAAACCAACAGTAGAGAAATATTTCAAATAGAAGACTATTGGTAGATGCAACGGACGACCAAAATTTCATCGAATTCATACTGGCCGTTGATATCTGATAAATAACCGAACATAGAGCAATAATTGTTATTAAAAAAATGAGAATAACCATCCAGCCGAGGAGATTATTCAATTTTTTACCCATTCTGAGAAATTAATTAGCTCATTATTATTTAATAGAATTATTATCGTTAAAAAGTAATAATTATTAATTTTTAAAATAGCTATTATTAATTAAGAATAATTATTTTTAAAAATAGTTATTATTTAAATAAAGCTTCCTCCAAAAGGAATTATATTATATCATATTATAATTATTATTATATTAAAATGGTTATTACTAAAAAAAAATATTAATTAAGAATAATGATTGTTTTTTTCACTTATAAATATTAATTTACGACTATAGATCAATATATCAAATTGTTAATTTATATACAGTAAATATTAGCTACCAATAATTAATTACCAGTTTTTAACAATTATAATTAATTTAATTTTAATTTGACGAAATAATAAGATATTATCATTTATTATTCATTTATCATACACAGTGCCTTTCGGCTACGAACGGAAATAATTAAATAATTAAAAAAATTAAATAACAATTAATTATCAGTAAACAATTAATTCTCCACTTACAAATAGACGTAAGAATGATGATTCATACATTCCTTGAGAATAAGAAATTGACTTGACGAATCAATATCGTCTTTTTCCATATTCAATTTATTAATTTGATATAAACGGTGCTTGATAATGTCCAATTGACCACAAATTTGTTGCATCATTCCAATGGCAAGACCATCCAATGCAATCTGTGCGTGCATCATTATTATCATTACCGATGACTCATGTAAATAAGTCATCCAAAAATTGAATTTCGAATAAATATTGTAAGGTGTCCAAATTTTCATTGGCAATGAATTATAAAGGTCTTTCGATACCAATAACAAAATAACGAAATTAAATACAAAATACATGTAACATACAATAAAGAGACGAACAGAAATAAATCTGAAAATAAAATCAAAAAATCGAATAGAAATCGAAGCTTGGATTTTTCTAAGTAAAGGAAATATTTTAGTTAATTTTCAATTACTATTAATTAACAATAAATAAATAAATTATATTAATATTAATAAATGTCTAAAAATTAAATACAGGTTAGATGACGTCAGATAGTTATAAAATTGCAGACAGGGGAATAAAGTGTTCGTGCAGCCGCTACGCGCCTGCGCAACCACTTTATTCCCCTGTATGCAATTTTATAACTATAGTGAAATAGGGGTTAAGTTAAAATAATTTAAATAAGTCTTTTACGAATAAAACTATCGTCTATTGACTTTAACTACTAATTTCTAATTAAATCAAACACAAAATTATTCTATTTGACTAAAACTGACTTCTACTACTGATCTTTGAACCAAAAAAAAATTGAAAAAAGTTTTTTCTATCTAAATTTTATTATAACTACTGATTTCTGACCGTAACAAATAAAAAATTAATATGTCTGATTAATACTGACTTTCACTACTAATGTCTGTATTAAAATAATTTTAAAAAGTCTTGTCTGACTAAACTAGATTTTAATTGATTTTTAACTACTGATTTCTAAGTAAAACATAATAAAATTTCAATGTCTGACTAAAACTGACTTCTACTACTGTTACTCGCATGAAATTGATAAAAAAAATTGTTCTGTAACTGAAACTGACCTAAATAGACTTTAACTACTGATTTCTAAATAAAGAAGACACAAAATTATCGTGTCTGACTAAAACTGACCTCTACTACTGATATTTGAACGAAAATAACAAAAAAAAAAGTATTTTTTAACTGAAAAAACTTTTTAACTACTGATTTTGTTTATAACAGAATAAAAATTATTATGTCTGACTAAAAGTGACTTCTACTACTGATATTCGAACGAAAATAGTAAAAAAAGGTTAAGTTAAACTGAAACTAACTTAAATTGACTTAATTTACTGATTTTTGACTAAAATCAATTCATAATTGTCATGTTAGACTAAAACTGACTGGTACTACTTATTTTCGAACAAAAAGTATAAAAAATGTTTAGTTAAACTGAAACTGACTTAAATTGTCTTTAACTACTGATTTTCCTATAAAATAGTTTACAAATTATCTAGTCTGACTAAAAGTGTCTTCTACTACTAATATTTGAACAAAAATAATAAAATTACTTTCTTTATTAATTATTGAAACTGATTTTAACTACTAATTTCAGACTAAATTAAAAAAAAAATTCATGTCTGACTAATACAGATTTTTACTACTAATATCTATAATAAATTTTTTAAAAAAATTCTTGTCTGACTAGAACTGATTGTAATTACTGATTTCTAACTAAAACATAATTAAAATTATCGTGTCTGACTAAAACTGACTTTTACTACTGATATTTGAACGAAAATAATAAAAATACTTTCATTATTAATTACTGAAATTAATTATAACAACTGATTTCAAACTACAATAGAAAAAAAATTAATGTCTGACTAATACAAGTTTTTACTACTGATATCTATTTAAAAATTTTTAAAAAAAGTCTTGTCTGACTAGCACTGATTTTAAATACTGATTTTTAACTAAAATATAATGAAAACTATCGTGTCTGACTAAAACTGACTTCTACTACTGATTTTGAAACAAAAATAATAAAAAAAAATGTTTAGATAAACTAAAACTGACCTAAATTGTCTCTAACTACTGATTTTTTACTAAAATAGTTTGAAAATTATCTAGTCTGACTAAAACTGTCTTCTACTACTGATATTTGAACGAAAATAATAAAAATAATTTCTTTATTAATTACTGAAATTGACTTTAACTACTGATTTCTGACGAAAAACCCTTTTAAAATTTGCAATGTCTGACTAATACAGACTTTTACTACTGATGTATGTATTAAAATATTTAAAAAAAGTCTTGTCTGACTAATCCTGATTTTAATTGATTTTAACTACTGATTTCTAATTAAAACATAATAAAAATTATTATGTCTGACTAAAACTGGCTTGTCCTACTGAGATTTTACGAAAATAATAGAAAACAGTTTTTTCTAACTAAACTAAATTTGAACTACTAATTTCAAACAAAAACAGATTAAAAAAATTGTCATGTCTGACAAAAAATGACTTTTACTACTGTTAGTCGTATGAAATTAATAAAAAAAAAGCTGGGCTTGTGTAAATGACAAAATTAATTTTGACAATATAAAACTATCAATTATAAAATTAATATACTTATATTTAATTAATCAAATTTAATAAGTGGCAAATATATTTTTAAAATATTTTAATATCCTAAAAAAGTTTTAGACGAGAGAAGAAAGAAAGAAAGAAAGAAAGAAGAAATATTTTTGAAAAAAAGAAGAAAAAAGAAGACATATTAAAAAACAAAATTAAATTTTAAGAAAAGAAATATTTGACAAAATAGGTATTTCAATTTCAACACAAAAAATTAATAAAAATAATAAAAATAAAAACAAATGATAATTAATAAAATTAACTAATTGATTATTTTTCTAAAAAGAAAAATCAAAATTGAAAAATAAATAACAATTAAAAATAAAAGTTAACAAATTTTCGATATTACAAACCGATTGAAATCATCAATTTTCGTCTGTATCATTGTTTCATGATTATCACGTGGCGTACAATATTTTCTCAAAAACATATCATCAAATCGAATAATATCATTGCGACGTAACAAAACATAAATAACTTTGAAATTCAATCCAAACACTGTGACAAAGAACATAATATTTTTCATCAATGTTTCCACATCGCTCGGTATTAATATTATATAAACCAACAATGAACTGTCAAGTGTAACAAATAAAAAGACAATTAAAAAACTGTAAAAATTGTAGAATAAAATTTTCCATTGTTTTACAAGTGATTTTGGTCGCCAAAGACCGGAATATTGTAATATTGTGAATGAAAAATTTGCCGTCTTCATATTGAGTATAAGAAAAGGAAAAAAAAATGTTAGTAAGAAAAGAATGATTATTATTATAAATTCATAAATGAAAGTTTATGAAAATGAAATAAAGGAGCTATTATTAATTTTTAAATTCCATTTTCGCAAGTTGGAAAATCAATTTAATTGCGAATGTTGTTTGAGAATATAGAAGGTGTTTTTCTATGATGAGGTATAATATGATGTATAATTATAAGAGTTTCTTTAAGAATAGTTAATTAATCGTTTGTCTGTTGAGAAAATCGGTGTAAAGGAGAAATTATAATGAGCCTGAGGGATAGTGTTAATAATTGATTTATTTCTGCGATTCATGTTGTTGGCGAGAGTGTGTACATCACATATGGACTATAAGTGATTTTATTTTTGTTCAGTTTGACATCAACTTTCGTTGAGTTCACTTCGTAAACACATTTCTCTTTTATATCTTTAATCTTAATTAGTTACAAAGTAACTGATTGTTAATTTAATTCTCACTTACTTTTTATTTCAAACTTTTCTTTATTGTTTTTTACTCAATTTAAATTAAATTATTCCTTTTCATTTCGAATAAGAATTAAATTTACAATAATTTTATAAAAGAAAAAATAGAAAAAATAATAAAAATAATAAAGATAGTAAAGAAAATTCAAAAATATTTTTATTATTCTAAAAATATAATTAATGTTATCATTCAATATTTCTTTGTTTCTAAAATAATTAGTATTTTGTAACAAACGTTGTAGGTAATTAAAAAATGTAAATCCTGCAAAAAAAATTCTTTTTTTAATATGAAAAACTTAATTGTTTGACAAATCGAAATTATGCAGCTATTTTTTCCTTTTTTCTAAAAAAAAATTAAAAAATTGTTGGAAAATTAAAATTAGAAAGTAGAAAATATTTTGCACATTTTCTGATTCTTAATTACAATTAATAATCAAAATACAAGTTTTCAGTTAAAGAAATATTATAAATCAAATATTGTTTAAGAAATTTTAGATTTATTTTGGAAAAAAATATTTATAAAATTTGTATTTGTTAAAAACGATTGTAAAATTATTCGAAAACATCAATAACTTCTTTTATCAATAAATATTTAATCATTATCATTTTTCCACAGGAATCAAGATTTTCAAAACATTCAAATTCAAATCTTTTCCAAAAAAAAACAACTTTTAAGAATATTTATTATAAAACATGAAGAAATTAAAGATAACCGAGTGATAAGATCATTATTTTCTATAATAGAAACATTTTTACTGTAATTTTTTCAAAATTATTTCCATCATTTTAATTTAATTTTTATTTTCTAGAATTTTTAAATAAAATTCTTTTTTAAATCAATTATCTTTAATAATTTTTGAAAAAGTTCTTTAAGAATTTTCAAATTAATTTGTTTACAATTAAATTTCAGAAAATTTCAATTATTCATAAATTCTTCAATTGAATACGTATTATAAAATAAACACTTCAAATAATTTCAAAAAAAAAAAAATTCAATTAAACTTTTTCAAAATAATTAATTCTACAGAATTGTTGGTCATGGAAGTATATGAAAAATTAGGATTTTCAAAGAATTTAATTTGAAACCTTTTCAAAATTCAATTATTTTTTGAAATCCATGCTATAATGCTTTTAATATTCAAATATTATTTAAATATTTAAATAATTTGAATAATAAATATTCAAATCTTAAATTTGAACTGAAATTCATTTTCAAATCAATTTTTATTAGGAAATTCTACAAGAATTCAATTACTTAAATGCAAAAATAAATAATTTATTGAATAATTAA